CATCAAGGACTTGGGTCCTCTCAAATATTTCTTAGAGATTGAAGTAGCTCGTTCTCGCAGTGGGATATCATTGTCCCAACGGAAGTATACTTTTGATCTTCTTCGGGACACCGGTATGATGGGGTGCAAGCCTGCATCTGCTCCTATGGATCCAAATCTGAAACTTTCGGCTGCGTCTGGTGAGTTGCTTTTTGATCCATCTTGCTACCAGAGATTGGTAGGATGTTTGATCTATTTGACTAATACATGACCATATTTGACATTTGTTGTGTGTGCGGTTAGTCAGTTTATGTATTCATCTCGTACTGCTTACCTTGATGTTGTTCACCATCTCTTGAGATATCTCAAGTCATGTCCAGGTTTGGGTTTATTCTTCAATGGTGGGATTCAGATAGGATTGTCTTGTTTTACTGATGCAGACTATGCAGGTTTATTGACTGACAGACGTTCCACTTCTGCGTATGCACTTTCCTTGGTACCCATCTTCTGTCATGGAAAAGCAAAAAACAAGCGGTTGTTTCTTGATCATCTGCTGAAACTGAGTACCGAGCCATGGCTCATGGGACATGTGAGTTACTATGGCTTCGGTCCATTCTTACTGAGTTAGGCTTTGAGGAGAATAATTCCTCCAAGCTATTTTGTGACAATAAGTCTGCCATCTTACTTGCCTCCGACTCTGTACTTCATGAGCGTACTAAGCATATTGAAGTTGATATTTATTTCATCTGGGAAAAGGTTCAAGCTGGCATTGAATGTCCCTCATTTGTTCCATCTTCTGATCAGATTGCCAACATTTTCACCAAATCTGTCGGACCATCCCTACTTCGATCTTCAATTGACAAGCTGGGTTTGGTTGACATTTTTGATCCAGCTTGAGGGGGAGTGTTGGAATACATAATATTGTATATTTAGGAGATCCTGTGATTTCTATAAATTACGGTTATTTAGAGATTTGATTTTTAAGATTTGATTGTGTAATTATTTAATTCATTTTTCCTGTGTATCATTGATTATAAATAAACATGGTCTCACCCAAATTAAGGTAAGCTAATATTGTACAACTTTCTTCTATCTTTGTATGTGATCCATCGTCGTTGTACATTGATCTTCAGTTGCTTGAGGAAATCGCTATAGATCGCTAAATCAAGGATTATATTGACCATTAGCTTGACCCATCACACAAGAAATTGACCCATCTTCTTGAGCCGTTGAGTCTTGACCCAACCCATGAGCAAAGCCTCAACCCATCCAACTTTTAGAACCTTAACTTAAACCTATGTTACCTAGAACATGGATCGTTCCGGTACATGGAAAAGGAACGGGAATGGGAATATGGTACGCTATATGCTCTAAAATGTGATACGATAAGAGTAGATTTATATATATTACACTTAAGAATTTAAGGTATTTCTATGAAAATCATGATCCATTTTTTTATTTTTTTATCTTGTCAAAGCTCAAGTCACCTAAGATTTTAGTTCGTATATTTGATTTTTTTTCTCCTAATATATTGGAAAAAACTTTTGGGATCACTTCAGATCACTAAATTTACCATTTTGGAGCGACAGTGTACCATGTTTCAGAACATGTGTATCAATACGTAAATCGCTAGGGTATAAGTGTTTTCTAGTAACATAGACTTAAACCAACTCACTTAACCAAGATTTGGTCCATCCCATCTTACTATTCAACAGTACCGAAAAAGCCCAAAACCCTTTTTATAATAATCCTTGATCCAGCCCATATCCACTTAGACCAGCCCAAACTTCCAATTGAAACCATTCCAGCCATTCTAAATCAAGTCAACCTAGTTCAACATACTAATTTAAGTCAAACCCTTCCAGCTTTTTAAAAAACTCTTACCATGATGACCAATTCTGAATGAATTAGAGGTTGAAGTCCTTGCTCATGGCCAACAAGAAATAAGGCGAATTTATAAGCAAATGATAGATTTGAATGAGCAAATATTAGAGCAGATGGTTTATATCAAAGCAACTTTGGACAAATTATTAACCGATGTTTTAGGAGATACTTCAAATTTCTCGAAGGGGTTATGAAGATCAAGTGAAATTTGTTGATCAATGAGAAAGGAGATGTGCATTTGACAGAGTAATAAGAAGATGTCAAAGTCCCAAAAGTGAAAGGATACTCTTTTGTGCCTCTCTCTCCTATTTCCCCCCTTCCTACCAAACATAGCATTTAAGGTGCACTGATGGAGGATGTTTGTCCCATGGATTCTGTCATACGCTCTTTATCTAAATATTCTGAAAATACATGCATATGTTTATTTATCCCATTCATGAACACTACTCATAACATAGATTTTTAGAGCCTGACTTGTGGGTCCAAATTTTGTTTCATTCTAGCTTTCCGCCTTAAAGTGAAGATTGAGCTATTTGAGGCCATTATTTTGTAGGAGCCCAGGCATTTGATGTAGAATATGCACGGTGGCTGGAAGAGCACATCCGACGAGTCAATGAGCTGAGGGGAGCTGTCAACTCCCATGCGGGTGATGGTGAACTTCGCATAATTGTGGATGGGATCTTGGCTCACTATGATGACATTTTCAGGATAAAAGGTGATGCTGCCAAGGCTGATGTCTTCCATATATTGTCAGGCATGTGGAAAACACCTGCAGAGAGGTGCTTTTTGTGGCTTGGTGGATTCCGTTCATCTGAACTACTTAAGGTGACAACCGCATCTCATCTCTCTCTCTCTCTCTCTCTCTCAACAACAACGCATACAGATAAACTCAATTAATCTCATTATTATTATTGTCATTGCTGGTGTTGTTATTTTAGTTTTATTACTAATGCCACTACTGCTTCTTAGGTTGGCTTTTAAAATTTGTTGCGTTTTTATGGTGATTTTTTTGTGCAAATCTATGCCGCTAGTGGCTGAATATATATATATATATATATATAGAAGATATGTTGTTGTATATATCGGTAATATTACTGATATAAAACGCAATATAGAGAAAGAAGGTATAATTCCATTAACCCTCATACAACGTTGATTAACACTAAACAAATATAAATAAAACCCTGATTACTAAAATGTAACAAAAGTACAACAATACCCCTAAACTACAAGAGAATACAAAATACATCTTCGCACCCCCTTCAAAGGAGGGATTTCTATCTCCATGCATGGAAGAGACTAGAAAATTTTCTTTACTGTCAGATATGAGTTCTTCAAACATCAATAAAAAATGATAAGATCCAAGTGTCTAATTTAGGTATTAGGGTCGCACAAATTACATATTTTTACCGTTGTCATATCTGGTGGACATGGATACATGGGAGGAATAGAAGAGCCCACTGTATAGAAATCAATGCATATGATCTTATATTCTGTAGATAAATTCAATACACATATTTATTTGTTTGTGTGTGTGTGGATGTGTGAAACAAATACAAACTTAGCCTTGGAGTTAAGTTAGGTCGAGTCTCACAAATTTTAGATGTGGTCCAAATGGAAGTTTCAATTTTAAGGCTAGCACACTGAACATGAAATGAAGGTCTAAAAATAGTATAAACATTTTGTTGAATTCACAAAATTTCAATTAATTTATTTGTTCTTTGCTGCAGTCTACATTGGACATCACCAGCACACCTTGATGCATTCAATGCAATACATAACGATCTTGGGCAAGTGTTGCCTTACTTTAGAAATGATAGAATAAGGACAGAGGCCAAAAACAAATATTAGAAGTAATGCTTTTTTTCCTTTTTCTTTTTTCTTTTTTTTTTTTCCGTTTTTTTTGTTTTTTTTGCACGTGTGTTTCTTACCTTTATATTCGTGAAAGATGGTTTTCCTTTTCTTTAGGATATGTTCTTGGCTTGTACATTTAATCATTTTGGTTCAATTTCCTTATTTCTTTCTTCTTATTATTTTTTTGTTGATTACAAATCTGCAAAATTTTACAAGGTAAGCTCTCTCTCTCCCTCTCACCAAATTTTATTGGTGTACTTTTTAGGGCAGTTTCAATTTATAAGGTAAGCAAGCTATTCTAGATGTGGTGCTTGATTTCATTCCATAATTACTGTGTAGGAGTTGTGGTTGCTTAATCCCACATTTTAGCATCTATTGGATCAATCAATTATACATCAGAGACACTAAATTCTTCTGAAGCAATTTCTCACTTACAAGATAAAATGTAAAGAGCTATTTGAGACTCTAGAAGTTTTGATGTTTTTTAAGTTCTTGATCTGTCTTCTTTGTGTGTACTAATGGTATAGAACTAATTTAGATTTATAATAGGTCTGGCCAATTTAGTCAAATTCTATGAAAATCTTCAAAATACATGCTCTCGGGAAACCCTTTGCCTGCTGCTATTTGTGGTTTTGCTTCATTTCCTGATCAGTGTATCTACTTAGTAGCACAATTTAAGTTCATTTTTACTTTGACAGGTATGTCTGCTTACATGCTAGTAACTTGTGAATTTTTTTTCTCACCTTTGTCCATTGGTTCGATCATTTCCTATTGCTAATATTTCATGCATCTTTTTTATTTTTTATGTTTTTGGTTCTAAATTTAAACCTACATGGTTGTAGCTGCTTATAAATCAGCTGGAGCCTTTGACAGAGCAGCAGTTGTTGGGCATCACCAAATTGCAGGAATCGTCCCTACAGGCAGAAGATGCTTTGTCCCAAGGAATGGAGGCATTGCAGCAATCCTTGGCTGAGACGTTGGCCGGATCTCTTGGCCCTTCTGGTTCATCTGGTAATGTTGCAAACTACATGGGACAAATGGCCATGGCAATGGGAAAACTAGGAACTCTTGAGGGCTTCATTCGGCAGGTATTTTTTTTGAAAAACAATAGTTAATTTCATTTTAGTGAGCAAGTTCAGCTTTTATCCCCTCACTCTCTCTACCTGTCTGTCTGTCTGTCTCTCTCCAATTGATCTTTGTTGATAAATATGCGAGTTATGTAAGACCAAATGTTGATTAATATTCAGGCTGACAATCTACGGCAACAAACATTGCAACAATTGCACCGTGTATTGACAACCCGCCAATCAGCTCGTGCCTTGCTTGCTATAAATGATTATTTCTCTCGGCTTCGAGCTCTTAGCTCTCTATGGGATGCTCGTCCCCGGGAATGAGAAGCATGATATATTCTTTGTTTCTGATTTTAGTTTGAAAGAAGGGTCTGGCTGTGTGTTCTTAGTAGTACCAAATATGATCTGCCTGCCCAACTGATGGGTTTGTTGTCACGGATTCAAAATTAGGGTTGTGTTTGTTTCTGTAGCAGCATGGCGTCGTCGGACACACCTTTGGTTTCATATTTAGAGTTGTACTTAGCTTTGTATTATCCTTCAGGGTTTGTATTTTATTTTTCCTTTTAAAAGCAAAATTTGGTGCAGCATAGGCAGTAATTTATGTTATCTAGACATTATTCTAATCAACAGAAATTCAGTTTTATTTTTAATGAAAATGGATTTGAATGCTAGTGCTACGACCTGATCCATATTTTTTTTATTTTTTAATATTTGGAATTGATATTTATGCTTATACAATTAGGTGAAGAATTCCTCCAAAAAAAAAAAGGGGCCAATATGAATTCTTAAGCGAATTAGATTTGAAAATATTTTGTGGCTTTGGTATGTCACGAATATTAATTGTATATTATGTACATGTTGACATTATATGCATATATGCAGGTGTAATTTACTTGGTTTTTAAAAAAATAAAGAAAAGAAAATGCACTTGCCTATATTTATATCTAGGATTTAAATATTAAAATTTTATGAGAACTCAACTATAAAAGATATTATTTTTTTTATTTGATATTATATATAGATGAGTTAGTAGAAGTCCAGAGAGACTCTAGGTGATTTCTGGCGTTGCTTCGACTACGTTTTGGTGATTCATTTTACACTTTTAAATTATAAATCTACACTTAAAATATAGATCTACAGTTTTAGAGTATAAATTTGGACTTTTTATATCCAAAATCCAAAATAGAAATTTTGAGAGTTTTCTCTTCTGATTTTGGCATAATTTTTTTATTTTTCATCACCAACAATGATTTTGTCTACTCTCAAGCCTTTTCCCATACCATTGTGGGCAAGGATGTGCGCGGTGCGGTTCAGATAGTTTGAGAGTAAAATTATAAATCGAATGGCAGATTAGCGGATTGATAGATTTGTAAATTGTGGTTTGAGCAGTTTTAAGTATATTGAAGAATATTCTAACTAATTATCAAGTTTTTGCATAATATAAAACACTAATTTAAATAATATTTTTCATATATATAACACAATTTGTGAGTGTACTTCTCTTTCCACCGGCAACGGCGGCAGCGGTGGAATTAGGCAATAGCAACAGGGATGACATTGACAGGGACGGCAGGCTTTCAAGTAGATTTTGCTTTTCAAACCACATCTTTGAATATATCGATGTAACTGTTTTTTTGGCAGATTTTATTTTATTTTATTTATTTAATTTTTTGGTTGGGATGACTCTTTGAGATCTTGTTTATGTATAGTTGCTGTTTTGTTAATATAATGTTTTCCATATTTTCCAAAATATATATATATATATATAGATGAGTTTGGTGAGTTTCAAAATTATAAATACTATTTTTAGAGCTGAATTTGAGATGAGATTTTTAAAGTATAGTCTTTGATGTCTTGATAACTACCAAAAGGTTTCTTCGGTTACTCAACCATGTGTCTAATTCAAACGAGTACAGGACACAATGGCTGTAAATATATGTTACTGAACTACCCCCTATTTCAATTCTACCTAAAATGTGATTGGATTTTGATTTTGTAAAGTCCATTTACAAAGAAGGAAAAAAAGAAAGGGATTTTAATTTTTTTTTATTTTTTATTTTATGGTACAATACCTTATATTTTATTCAAAAATTTCTTCTTTTTTACTTTCCCCTCACAAATTCTTACATTGAGAAAGGAAAATGAAAATTAAATGACTTTATTAAGCAAAATCAAATACTTATGTAGCCGACGGATTGACGGACTGCATCACTTCCGTTGTAATATAATTTACTAACCTACTAATATTTTATCGTTTGAAAAAAAAAAAAAAACCAAAGCAGCCAACGAGTAGAGGTGAGATTGTGGTAGGGCTTCTTTTAACTTATATTTTTACAATTTGCTGACTCCTCTTCCTCATGCCATCTTTTAAGAATTAGACAAATATCATTTTCCCATGGATCATGAACCAAATTTTGAGCAATTCTACTGAGTTCGAAATTGTGTAGTTAAAGAACAATTCTCAACAGCTTAAATGGCTGAAATTCTAATTTTGTTCATTTATTTATTTGCAAAGAAGATTAATTATAAATATGTAAAAAATTACATCAAACTAGACAATTGTAATTTAGCTACACATGGCTAAAAGCCTACCAACCAACACACGAAGAAATAAACTCCTTAATACAGCCAAAATAATGAGAGAAAAAAATCAATGTACAGTGGCTAACTGAATTAACCCAATTGGTTTCTAATTTTCCTTTAAGACGAGTGAGAGAGTGAGAGAAGAGGAGAGGATCTAGATCCTTCTCTATTTTGTACAGGAAATGGAGAAAGATAAATCAATAGATCATGGCTGTTCATTTGAAAATATGCAGCCATGATTTTACTACTTCCCTAAAAGCATGGTTGAAATCCACACTTCTAAACCACAGTTTAAATGAAAGCCACCCTCTCACCTTTTAAAAGTATGATTACCAACTATGATTTGAGTGTCATAATCATAATCATCTTATCCATTCATTCTTTCAGCATACAGCTCGAAGCATTGACTCTATGACTAAATAGAAGGGACATGATCCAAATCCGGCCCCAACACAAAGTGAAGTCAAAACAAATGCATGAATGCTTTTGTCCCAATCAAAAGCATTCATACTATTTGGTTTCCGTCAAACTTTATAACAAAAAATGGAAGATATATTGTGCTTTGGATCCCCTTATAAATAATTTAATAGAAAGACAACACATTTTGGATACTATCTGTTAGTAGATATTTTAATATTATAATGTGTTGTAATATATATTGTTTGCTTGGGCTCTAAGCAACTTGTTCTCCAAGCTACCTTTCTTTGCCTCTAAATAAAGTTTCTTTCCCTCCAAGTTCTCTTTTCTTTTCCTCCAAATAACTCTTATTTTATTTTATTTTATTTTTCTTTTGCCCCTAGTTTCTTCTCCTATAAATTGAGCTAACATCTTATCTTGAAAAAAGAAAAAAGAAGTGTTTGTTATTTTATTATTTTTGTGTGAGATTATCAGGTAAAGAAATAAAGGGTATATGTGATGAAACTTTGGGTTCTTCAACCAATTTTGTAGTATTGGTGAACTATACGACATAGTCCGGCTGTTGTATCCTGGGGGGGACGAATCAAGATTTTTTCTACTGCATCGGTGTAAGGCTTTGTCCAACCGCAGAGGGCTTGAATCTCCTTAAAGAGAGTGAATTTCCTGCGCCTCAGTCTTTTCAATAGTTATTGTAATTTTAATTATTTGTATTTTTTAGTGTTTTATTTGTAATTATCACCAACACTATCTATCCCAACTGCACACACAAAACCCCTAATTATAGATGACCATCCATGTTGAAGCAAATTTCCTTTGGCTCAATATCCGAAAGTAAAAAACCAGGTGAATTTGGCATTTGGCACCTTTTGGATCATAGATGGCAAAGCAACAAGTGTTAACCTAAAACATTGACATTTTAGTAGCATACTTTTTCACCCCACTTCCTTCTTTCATTTCCACACAATCCACTTGCTAAGGATATACTAACATAGTCATCCAGTTGTTTTGCACCTTATAAGCAATTGCTACAGAGCTGAAGAGTTAGGAATGACATAATAGTCACATTTTTTTCTACTGTATCAGAAATGTACATTAGTGGTTGGGCTATCATAGGATGACAATTTCATAATATATATGTGTAACAACCCCGACCTGTCATTAGCTGATTAACCAGGATTAATTATGCCTAATAAGTAATTGAGATGAAATCCTAAGTTAATTGCATGTGTTATGAGCTATATGAGTCTCTATCTGTCTATCATAAGAATATCTATTTATGTTTCTGTTTTATACTACAAATTGAACGCTTTATCGGCATTCGATCACGAAATTGACTTAATTTATGTGCTATTTAGGATTTTTAGAGCATTATGGTAGGTTTAATTAGAATCCGACTCAGAATGATTTAATTAGAATAATTAATGTTCAATTAAGCCTAATTAATGAATTCCTTAATCCAAGCCTATATAAGGCACCTATTATACCTCCACTCATTCTTTTCCTTCATTTCAACACATCTTTGAGCTAGCGCACACAAACAAATGCGAGAGAGGGAGAGAAAGGAGAGATTGAGCTCAATCAAAGGATTTGCTAGAAATTGAAGGAATTGGACTTAGAAACACAAGGATCAAGTTTCTAGCTCTATCATTGACAAGCCTAGTAAGAATTCAACCTTTAGATTGTACAATTATGATGTGTAGGACATGAACTCTAGAGAATTAAGTTGGACGATACAAGGATTGAGTTATAAATGAAGAGAATTGAACCATATCATGCAAGCATGCATATATCATGATATTTTGAGTAGATTTCTAAAGAATTTTCCCATGCATGTGTCTATCTTAACTTGGTTTTGAGAAGTCATCACATTTCTTACCATTTGACCTTAATTGATCATGTTTTGGAAAGTCTAAGCTCAAAGTAATTCATGCATGTCATGTTCATGGCATATTCATAAATTTCAAGTTGAGTTTTTGTCATTTGGCATGCTTTGGGGCATTGATTTAGTGAAATGATCTTCAAATCATGGTATTTTACAAGTTTCTAAATGTTTTCTAGAATTTTGGCCCAAAAAGATGAGTTTTGAAGTGTGTAATGCAAGTTTTGAACTTGGGACTGCAATATGAAAATTTCAGAATTTGCACCCTCCGCTCGAGCGACAAATCCTGCGCTTGAGCGACCACTCTGTGATCTTGCGCTTCTGCTCAAGCGACCAAAAGTTGGCTCGAGCATGAAATGCAAGCTCCTAGAAGTTCTCATGTTTGCAGACTGCTCGAGCGACAAGAATTGTGCTTGAGCGAGGACCTGAGTCTCACGCTCAAGTGACCGTCAAGCGGGAAAATCAAGCAACTAGTACTTTTCCAGAAGTTTACAGACCGCTCGAAGGACAAAAGTTGCCCTCGAGCAACCACTCAAATTTTGCATATCCGCTCGAGCGAAGGAAGTTGAGCTCGAGCGGGACCCCTATTTCCAACATTTTTGACCAAGTGTTTACAAATGCATTTTGTTATCCACTTTGCATCCTAGGCATTCCAAAGCCAAGATTAAGACATAATATGAAGAATAAGGACTAGAAACACATTAAGAATGAAACGAAAGAAGTTAAGTGCCAATCGAGTGTGTGTTTCATTACGTGTTTCTGTTATGTGTGTGTAGGTCACGTGCCACAAGTTATCTG